GCAAAAATCGCCCATAGGAAACATCGTTAAACGATGCAGAAAATTCTTTTAAAAACCCATCGTTAAGTGAATACAGCGTTAAGCGAAGCAATCGCTAAGCGAGGCACCACTGTACTTATTGTCGTGCACCCCCCAGCTCCACTGTTTGTTTTTCTACACACCCAGGTTCCCTTTCGGGCATGACATGTACTTTTCACCCTTTTTCTCTGCCACCAGAGGATATGTTCCTCTCTGTACCAAATATGACTATTAGATCAGTGTTGTCAAATACAACAATGTTTATTTATGGATTTGTAGGTAAGTCACATAAAGAAAATCATAGATGGTCTTTTATTATTCATCCAATAAACGTTGCTTTGATTACATTTATGTTTGCTTATGTAGATTCACTTTATTCAAGGTATTACTATATTTAACTATTTATTTCTTAGCACTTTTAACTCTTTCCAATCTTAACCACACCAGCTTTCCAAGTTCTTGTTTTCAATCCTTCCCTAACTATTCCTCTTAACTCTTTCGATCTCTCTATATATCTCTGTCTCTTCTTCTCTGTAACTCCCCAACTGCTCTGTCCTAAACTGTCTTTTTTTCTCTCCTAGTTCCCTTGGTACCGCTCCTCTTGTCCTGTCATAGGCTCCCACACCAGAGTTCTAACCTGACAGGAGTGACGTGTGAGCTGTCCATCACACTTATATATATATATATTAATGCTAGCATGTGGTAATTATGCCCATTATTCCATTTTGATGTCTGTTACATGTTGTGCTTCCCCTTATATACGGATAAAATTCCTCTCTTGTATTATTGGCTAGTATGCTAACGAATCATCTAAGGATGTACAGTAATAGTATAACTGGATGATGGTCAGCCTTTTTTGTTTGTATAGCTGTTGTGGAAGCTAAGAAATTATGTGAATATGAAATTTCAGTGAATCCTAATATTTAATCTTCCTTTTAGTGTGCATTTAAATTTTTATTATAGAAATCAACCAGAGTGTTTTTAGAGCTCTGCTTAAATTGTACTTTGTAATATTGTTCTCCCCTTTTTAGTTTTACTTTCCTATGTTTTATCAGGTTTCATTGTGATGGCCTGTGGCTAAATATAATTTAAGTTATATGATACCCATTATTCCATGCCAGACAGTCAAATCAAGTATATAAAGAATCAAGCATTTTGCATTCTCATGTGTTCGAGTTTTGTTACATATTACATTCTTTTAAAAAATTACTCCAGACCAAACCATATATTTTATTGCTTTACTTCATTGGACTGCCATTTCATCCAAATGCCAAGTTATATTAGTCAAGATACTTCACACTTTCATTTTGAATATATAACTCAATTTCTTGAGCTGATTGCTTTTTACTGATACCATAAATTTGGTTTTCCCTTTATTCATTTTTAGACCATGTTCATTACTCACTTAACCTTTCAAATAATCACATAATCAACCCTTGCCTATCTTGGCTACTGTAATTGGGAAATCTGCCAGGGGGGTTCGTACATGGGTCCAGAAGCCTCAACGCCTCCTTGCGAGAGGGAGTGGTCCCTACCACTTCAAAAGAGGTGGTGATTCGACCACTTCTTAAAAAGCCTAATCTGGACCCAGGGCCGGTGGCTAACTATCAGCCGGTGGTGAATCTCC